AATTTGACCAAACAGTGGATGAAATCTACTGACAAGGGGTCAATTAGTTGATTTTAAATAGTTTAGGGGGTTAATTTACTAAAAAAAAATAGTTCAAAGGTCAATTTCAACTAAAGTACTAGTTCAAAAGGTCAAATGTTAATTTACCGCATCCAAAATCATATCATTTTTAATCATTTACTATAGTTACAGCAATTTCATATAAAATTTTACCAAAGACTCGAAAAATTGATTTTACACAAAAAGTTTATTAAACACGCAACTGCTTTATTAATTTTCACAGCAAAGCAAAAATATGTTTTTTATTTTTTAATGTTAAATAGAGCAATACAAAACTAGTCCTAAGGGTGTTGTCCCTTTCTAGTCGTGCTTCATAAAAAGTGGAATATCCTATTAGAGTACAATATATATTATACTTTTTTACAAACTATTATTGAACACATTGGATTGGTATCATGCATATACTTTTTAAGTATTCATCAATGCGTGTATATTTCACTTCTGGGTAAAGCTTTGAAGCTTCTTCTACTCCTTCTCCCTTGATTTCAAAGTTCGTCAGATCGCTTTCATAGAAAATGTGGTAAAAATGCCCGACACCTACCTTACTTGCATAGTCCATACCTGAAACATAATATTTCAGGTAGAGAACAAAATCAAACTAGTACATAAAAATAAAACTCTCAAATGCTGACTAACCACAAGTAGCTATGAATGTTCATTGATCCCGTTCAGTGTCGCTGACAGATTAACATCCTATAATTTTGAGAACTAAAAGTACCCCAACTAAATGGTGTTAGATTGTAAACCATTGATTTTGAACATCACACAATCCGAGAGTTCAAATCTAAATTCTTAGCACTAAGTGGTGTCAGCTATTTTAATGTGTCGATCAAGCATGTAGTTTAGTATCCTAATGGATAAGGTGTTGGATTTTTACTTATATGTCTTGAGTTTAAAACTCTCATCTCCCTTAAATTATTGTAATAATTTTCAACTCTTCCCTAGAGACATTAATTAAGCACGTACGAATGAATATATGTTAGTAATTTTCTTGAACACAACTGATTTCAAATGATTAAATACCTTTTATAGAAGCAAGAAAGTCTTGTTTAGAAATGGTGATCTTTACTAGTTTCTTTCCGAGAAGGTTCTCCCACATTTCGACCAATTGTTTCTGTGTGAGTGCGTTTTCAGGTGGATGAAGGTACAATGTTTTGTTCAACGTTTGTGGATCATCTATCGTCTTGATCGTGTATGTTGCGATATCAGCTTCATCCATAAGAGTAACTAAACAAACCATGGAGATCATCAACGTTTGTGGTTCAAGAGAAACCTGACTGTGGATTCCTCTTGTTCTTTATGCTCTGGGACTTCTGATACCATTCTTCATATTTTTAGAAACTGCCCAAGACAAGGAGTAATTGGGAATTGATGGGAATGCCTAGACAGGTACAACTGGCCTTTAATCATGATGTAACTGCTTGGGTGATGGCTAATTTGAAATCCATGTTAGTATGGCCTGAACAAATTGGGTGTAGTGATTTTATTTTTACTTGTTGGTATACATGGAAAGGGAGGAATAAACAACTCTTTGAAGACAACTTCGCAATCCCGCAATCTTCCAAAACTATTATTTTTAAGGCTGCAAATGAATGGTACGATGGCTCTAAGTGTGTATGCTCTAATGATCCTAAGATGCAAGTTTCTCTAGCTTGAGATCCACCTACTGCAGAGAGGGTGAAGCTTAATGTGGACGATTTTCAGACCAATGCTACTAGAAATATAGGTGCAGAGGAGTTTTTAGAGACAACATCACTAACTGGCTCGGTAATTTGGGCAAAGGGCAGATGATTGATGCTGAAATTTTGGGGGCCATATTTTGGACTGAAATTTGCAGTTAATAAGGGTATTTCAAGATTATGCGTGGAGATGGATTCGGCTCTTGTGGTTAATTTAATTAATGATATGGCTAATATCAGCTTTCATTCTCTTGCCAACATCATTGATCAATGCCAACAACTTATGACACGCATAGCCAAATGCGAGTTAGTGCACGTCTATCAAGAGAAGAACATAGTGGCCGTTGACATTGTTAATTGGAACTATAATATATATCTTGGGTATCATTATTGTGGAAATCTTCCTGCTTAGATTAGAATTCGATTATTTGATGATATGATTCAATTAGGAATTTAAGGGATTTTAATGTAATTATAAACTCCCATGAGGTCTATGGATTTTAAATGATTCACACATACTCACACGAATTGTGAAAGAATTTGATAGAGTATTATATTATGATGTTTAATGATTTTGGTACTTGTTTTTCTTCGCCATTCCTTTCCAGCAATTGAGTGTTAATTTTTTTTCTATTTTCTCTCTCTAATCAGTCCATTGTTATTTCATAAAATGTAAAGAATGTATTTCCGTGATTTTGCTCCAAGAATATTGAGTACAATTTAAGGATCAATGCCATATTTCACAAGCCCTAAATTGTAGGAATTATATAAGAATTAGAGGAAGGAATTACGGGCCGTGCGCTGATCCTCATTAACAAATAAACTAATACCCAGACAAAGGTTTTAGCTTTATATATTGAACTTCAAATTTCCTTACAAAAAATTGAAGTTGTTCATGCTAAAATACTGTAATCATACACCATGATGCAGCAAAACAACAAAAACAAGTATAAGCAATTGAAAAACAAATATAGGTTGACCAACCAACAAGATACTTACGTCGTAATCAAAAAATTTACAATAGGAGAAAGTAAGCATATAGACCTCTGTGTGTATTACCTATAGAATATGAGACTGCTTGTATTGTACAGAGTAATAACGCTGAAATCTTGAGAGGGGATGCATGATTTGCGAGGATCTTTAGTATTTATACGTCACATCCTAGAATCCATCAAAATCCTCTAATTCATTGAATCTTACAAATTCACTGGCTTTTTGAGTACCCTCAGACTTTAAGAGATACTTTCAAACTTTGGATTGAATACTATCAAACTTGGATTGAGTACTTCAAATCTGAATTGACAACCACTTGCATTTAAAAGACTCAACTAAAATCATAAGGGAAATTTTATTTACACTCAATGATCATATTTTCACACCCAACTTGAAAATTTTGTCCCGAAAATTTACCTTTTTACCCTCAAATACAAAATTGACAAACTTGAAAAAAATAAAAATAAACAAACAAACAAAAACAAAAAGAAGGACAGTAAACCCACCCAACCACCTACTGTGGCAGGGATCGGACTTAATTCCGATTGTCATTCCAAAAATTGTCGTCGCCGACCTACTCTTTATCTCGTCAATGTTCAATTCTTCGTGCTCATCTCTATGGGGCTAGATTTTGGTCCGACTACTATTTCCTTAAAACTTAATGAACCAATTAAAAAAAAGAAAAGAAAAATAAGAAAAAAAACTAGCAAATTGCAGCTCAAAAAAGTGGTGTGATCTTGCAATTCGTGGAACAAGGATGCAGTCCCATACGTGGACAGGTTAAAAAGCTATATATGCTTTCAAGGATGACAAGTAGTCATTTGAAATTGGGTGAAGATGTTATGACCCTGATTAGCTTAATCATATTTAGGCATTGAATTAGTTAGTAAAATGGGATTATTACAAGTAATTAGGAAAGTCTGTTAGATTCTGCTAGCTGGTAGTGGTTTGGGAGTATTATAGATAGTCCATTGTGTAATGGCTTTGCCTGATGGTTAATTTGATAAAAAGAAATTAAATACAAAAATATATGGGGCTCTGCTCCTTCATCTCTCCTTCCCTCTTCTTCCATAGCCTTCTTGTGCCACTTGCAGGTTGATTAAGGGAATTGAGAATTGGGTTGTATCAATGGTATCTTCTCGAATCCTGGTTTCCCTCCTGTGCACACCCACCTGACCCGTCTTCCTGCCATGGATGCACGCCTCTCCGCTGCAATCAACTTATTTGAAGCTTCGCTGCATGCTGAGATCCGTGATGCAATCCGCGAAGCTATGCATTCTGCACTCACCGCCATTCACAAGGCTGTGAATCCTGTACTCGCAGAACTCCGTAGTGACCTTGCTCAGTCACGCTGTGACTTGGCTCTCGGCGTCGAGGGAGATTCTGATCCAGCCTCGATTTGTTCCGCAGAAGCTGCATCAATCGAGGTAGATTCACCAACAACTTCAAAATGGAGACGGCAACCCACTGCGAATTCCGTCAACAATCCACGACCATTCCATTCCGCCATTGCTCTTATCGTCACCGATGTTGAGAGCACTTGCAAGTTCTCCGGTTAAGTCCCAATTGAAAGAGTTAATGGCAGCCACAATTCCACTGCCACATTTTGAGAAAACCATGCCCGTTGTGATGGTGACCACGCTGCCGCTACTATTTCCGATTTCAGCAACCTTTAGCACTGAATCAGCCCACGCTCACAGTCACAGACCCGTTTTGAGCACTAAGGAAGCTACAACAATGGCGCATATTTTGGGTTTTCCTCTCAAGAACTATGAAGCTACTGAATCTGCAGGTCTCTCTCATACGAACACCACGAAACGTCGCCATGAGGTATTGCGATCTTTGATTTCCAATTTGTCACATTGGAAGGCCAAATGGCATCAGCTTTTGCAGTTTATTCTGGCGTATCATACTGGTGTTATTGTAGTCATGTATGAAGATTTTTTTAATGAAAAATTTGGATGGATTGATTGGTATCTTGTGGGCAACTTTCTGATGAAAGATTTGTGTGCATCGAACCTGTTTGTTGAAATGTCTAAGAGACAAAGTACAGAAAATTTGTCATGGAATAGCAACCGGGGTTGGTCAGTTGCCCTTGGTTCTCCCTGCACATTTGCCAGGGATGTGGAAAAGCTTGGATCACAGTTTCATATGTAGGAGATTTGTGAGGTTTTTACTATCAATGCAGCTACTCCTATGGCTCTCGTTCCCTGAACACATTTGGGGTTCAATATCTCAAGGGGGAGGTAAGGAAGAGGTTCTGCAAGAATGAGTGTAAGTCCAAGAAGAATACTGAGGAGGTTCACATTTGGGATTCCTGTATTGATGAATTTCAAAAGTGGCAGGCATGTTCATGAGGAACTGGCAAAATATGGTGACCTGGAGAATCAAGTTTTGTGCAAATGGACATATCTTGGTCATGCACATATGCAGCTAAATAATGAGAAAGATTCCCGAGAAATGGAAGCTTGTGGATGTGATGATGATTTATTAGAGGAGATTGTATTGGGTGATCTTGCAGATGGTCATCATGCTAAGATAGGATGCAGGGTAGCCTTCCCTAGCCATCTCCCATCAACCGCTACGAATGAATTAGGTCTTGTAGTAGGAATCTCTGTTGAAACTTCCCTAGTTGATGCTCATATAGGTGGCGTGGGGTTACTGGAAAGTGTGCCTATAACAAATTCCGAGCCCAAAGAGTGTTATGTGACAAAGCTGAATGGTCATGCTGTTGTGAATACTGTCACAGACAAGCTTGGAACATCAAGGACACATGGAATTTCTACATCTGGGAAATCGTTTGATAAGAGAAAAGAAATGTATGGAGTTCATGTTGACTTCATACCATTTTGGAATGCTACACTTATGGACAAACGTAAAATGAAAAAGTCACCAGAAGAGGCTCAAGAGGTTGTTGGGAACATGAATGATGCTGCTGCTAGTGCCAAACAGATAAGGGAGATGGAACAAGGCTTGACCAGTTTGATAGTTTTGGGGAATGGGCTATTTTCTGATCTTATTGCACAGCTGCAGGATATACTTGATTGTGTAAATGAAGCTGACATCTTGCTGGAGAAGTTTGATAGTGCAGTTATTAGAGCTCAGATTCAACAATTGGATCAAGAAATCAGGGAGTTAACCTCATCTGGACCTATAACCATCTACAATGAGAATTCTTCGTCTAGTGGCAATTATGCTTCATATTTAGTTCCAGTTGCTGCACTTGCTGCAATGGGCTATTGCTACATGTGGTGGATAGGTTGGTCATTCTCAGATGTGATGTATGTGACAAGGCATAATATGGCAAATGTTGTTGAAGCTCTAATTAGAGAGGTAGCTAGCAAGAGCAATGACTTTGCTAGGAACGGAACAATAAATACATTGAAAAGGAGTGAATGTGCTATGGGCACCTATTTGGATTTAGTATGCTCTCTTGGTCACATGGAAAGCAATTTTGTTGCCTTAGCTATTGATTTACATGCTGAGTTCTCTATGTTTTTCACTTGTAACCTTGACTTTCGGCCTTTATGGGATCCAGGGGATGCAACTGCTAAAATTGTTAAGATGATACTCTATTTTAAAGCTGTCAAGGCAGAGTGGCTTAACATGGTTGCAAAAATAACCAAGTTAGGTAGTTTTATGGTACAATGGGATAGAAGTGTTAAAGCTTTGAATAAAGGAAAAAAGCAAAAAACTGGAGATGGTGGATATAGTGATGAGATGGAGAGTTTGCATGATTTAAGTGTGAGCAAGGCTGTGGATATGGTGACTGGGTTCGAAAGTGCATTGGCAGGACATGTTGTTAACAATATAATTCGTAGTACCACTGTAAGATTGGAGAGACTTCACTCAGAGAGGCTTCATAGATTGCCAGAATGGTGGTGTTCTGCGGTATCTCAGCTGCTGATGATTGGTAAATCCATCCTATCTAGTTCAAACAAAAGTCAGGAAGCAAATGTCAATGTTGTTTTGGGAGCTGGTAGATCTGAGTCTACTGGTTGAGAACATTTCAGCTGGGCAACTTGGTTTGGTCAAAAATGTGACAATCTTTAAGGACTTCACTACCAGCTTTGGTGATGCAGCATCAAAAGATGGGTTGCAAGTCCATGCAGGGTCTCCATTTGACAATATGGGCAGAATTCTTTTTGGGAAAAACAACGGCAAAGGCTGCAAATAGGAGCATGTTATGCAGAAGCAAACAATTAAGAAGCACAACCAGTTCTTCATTTTAACCTTGAGGACAAGGTTGTTCTTAAGGGGTAGGCAATGTTATGACCCTGATTAGCTTAATCATAGTTAGGCATTGAATTAGTTAGTAAAATGGGATTATTACAAGTAATTAGGAAAGTCTGTTAGATTCTGCTAACTGGCAGTGGTTTGAGAGTATTATAAATAGTCCATTGTGTAATGGCTTTGCCTGATGGTTAATTTGATAAAAAGAAATTAAATACAAAAATATTTGGAGCTCTGCTCCTTCATCTCTCCTTCCCTCTTCTTCATAGCCTTCTTGTGCTACTTGCAGGTTGATTAAGGGAATTGAGAATTGGGTTGTATCAGAAGAGGGAACTGATGAGAGATCAAAATTTGAGAGAGAGAGAGAGAGTGAGTGATCGATATCAATATCAGAAGCCCTATATTTCTCTGACGAACCTAACTCAGCTCAGGCAACACGATCTCCTAATTTCAGTCGAAGGCCACAAACCGCCTCCACTATCATTTTACAGTTCTTCTACACCCTTCGTTAATCCCTCTTTTCAGTTTCCGGCAACCCACCCAACCGCCAATTGGGGCTCTTAGGGCCACTTCGACCCACCCATTCGCTAGTTGATAATATCTTTCTACACCCTTTTTTTACTAGGGCGTAATGGGAATATAAAATTTAAAAAAAAAAAAAATGAATGGGTGCAGAGATAAGTTAACTGGGTTCAAATAAAAATTTTCAAATTATAATTGGATACACATAGATTTATAAATGCCTTTCAAATCTAATATAATCCTATTCCAATACACCCTCGAATTATCTATAATAACTCTTCAAGCTAATTTTGGGGGTGATCCACCCCTTATGTTACCAGAAAAAAAAAAAGAAAAGGTACATCGTCAAGTTTATTTTTGGTACTGTTTATTACACCAGTAAACTCAAGAAATTTAATCAATTAACTCCAAAAATATAATTTTTTTTTTTTTTTGTTTTACACAAAGTGGACTGAAATACTACTAATACAGCGACTAACGAATTGACTGCTGAAGATGGAAAGAATATACACGTACCTTAATATTTCCAGCTTCTTTGATAGCTTCAACAAGCTTGAGCTGCAACAAAAGATTGTGACTCCGAAAATGCACCCCAGACATGGTACAAATTACAACATCGACAAGCTTGACAGCTCGAACAAGGCTTTGGAGATGAGAAAAGGAGCCCTCCACAAGGTGAGCCCCTTGCTTCTTGAAGCCCAAGAGCATCTGCAGCTTCTCAATATCAAGGCCGATCTCTGGCCTTTGAAGGACGTATGTTGGGTGACCCGAGGCAAGGTTTGCCCTAACAATCCTTCTCCCGACGTACCCAGTACCACCTACCACAAGAACCTTGCTGTTTCCCATACCTACCAAATATCACTTCTGTTTACCTCTTGTTTGTTTGTTTTTCTTGCAATATTAAGGGAAGAGTAGCTCTATATAGGAGTCGAACACCTGGAGCCTGCAGGGGAGTCGCTTTGAAATATTTGCATTGGTTTTTGCTTGAAAAATTAAAACTAAAAAAACGTCAGCAAAGGAAAATGAACTGGTTTGGTATTGTTCAGATTTTAGTACATGCACGTGTTTTTGTTGGAAACTTATATTAATTATCCATCGACCCACACGCTGTGCGTATATTATTCTGCTATGACTTATATTTATAGGGTTAATTACAATAATACTTTTTGAGGTTTATTATATTTTTACAAAACTTCTTCACGTTTAAGAAATTACACTAATATCTCCTGACGTTTTAGTTTACTATCACATCACCCCTTAAATGGCAAATTTAACCTTTTAATTAATTACTAAAATAAAAAAATCTTTGTAAATAAATAGAAATAAAGTCAAACTAAAAAAAAAAAACATTAAACATTATAATAAAACAAAAGAAATTCTATATAGCATCATAAAATTTAATTAAAAAAAATAGAAGAGAAAATCCTGTACGAACTGAACTCTCATGTCTAGCACATATGAAAAGCTATTCGAAATTTGGAACACGACCTAAAGCAGAGCCAGACTTGATTGTCCAAGATAAACGTTATCAATTAGCTAGTCTTCATATAAAACTCCTCTATTCCTATACTCATAGTCATACAACAAGATGGGCATTAAAGTTCAAGCTTGAGCTCGTCTTTTTCACTAGAGAGGAGGTGAAGAACGTGGTGGATCGCGACGACCCAAGCCCAAAACATGGCTACATGGCTCCGCATCTGTTCAGAGCTTGTCTGGCTTTTGCATAAGAGTGAGGATAATGTTAGAAAGATTAAATTTATATATAAAATTTTGTAAATTAAATAATATTGAAATTGATGATTGAATTATTATTTAAGCGTTAATAAGCATGTTCATTCCTATTGATGACACATTATTTAGTTTGCAAATATTTTTCTATAAAATTAGTTTCTCTAGCATTACCCTTTACATAAACAATTTGTTTCCTCAGATTTGGTTTCTCTTTCCTGCAAATTTATATGCCAAACGAGCTAGATGTTTAGAACTCTAAAACCCTAGTTGTTGCTCTGCGATTTTATATATAATTTTAATTTAGTTTTTCTAACTTGATTTCTCTTTCTATTCATTTATAAATATTTTTTATTTTTATTTTAGCTAATTAACTACAAGGGTATATTCGTCATTTAAGGGTTCTTATGAAAGTGAATTAAAACGTCAGGGGATTTTAATGTAATTTTTCAAACGAAACGTGAAGATTATTGTGAAAACATGATAAACCTCAGAGGGTGTTAATTTAATTAATCATATATTTGTATCACTTTTTTAGGTGATCCTTTTTTTTTTAACAAAAAGGAATTGGATTTGAAAAAGTTGGGGTGGGAATTGGGGGAATAGGATCTTACCCAGATATTCTTTGTGAGAATTCTGGAAATCATTTCATCGTATCGGTTCATTTATTATCTTGCAGCCAGAAATTATTTGAATTTTTTTATTTAAAATTAAACCAAACAATACTTGACAAAATTAATTATATGATGGTAAACAGACACGAAAAATAAACATAATAAAATAATTCTCTAAATTCTCACAAAGAATCTAGCAAATCCTCAGCCGAATTGGGAGTTTGAAAGCGGAGAGGGGTGGTTCAGTTTTTATTTTTATTTTTATTTTTTAATTTGTGGAAAGAAGAGCGAAAAGCGTGAGAGAGAGAGAAACATAAAATCAAATCTTTAAGTTAAGAAAACAAGAAAAAAAGGGAAGCGATACTTTCTAATCCATTCATTTGCTTGCGTAATCTGACATGTATTTTTTACTTCACTACTGGCTTTGCTGACGACAATTAAAATGCGGCGGATGCATCACATATTTTTGCATGCGTTTTAGACCATTGTTTTAATGTATTTTAACTTCAAATTGTTTATTTTTAGTCTTCATAACAATTATGTCACACAGACAAACCGGAAAACTATTTGAATAGTTTAAGGTATGTTTTTTTGTACAATCCATTTTCTTCATTACAAACGAATGTCTTATTAGTTTTGAATTTGTATACTTTTTTACGAGAAAGGTCTATGACGTTTTAGAAGATAAACGATTTGATTCATAAAAATACATTACAGAGTAATTCACAGAAAAATGTCTATAAAATTTAGAGAAGTTGTGCTGAGAAAATATTTTACTTTGAGGGGAAGATGTAGGGACATGGTGATTCTCAGTCTTCTTTCTACAGATTGGCAAACTTGATGTATTTGTACCCAATAAAAGTTAAATACAGTTATGCAAGTAATGTTGTATTTGATATATATTTGTGATTTCAATTAGTTAAAAATGTAATGGTATTTCATGAATCGTCCTTTTAATTAATGATACTGCTTGTATTCCATGGGGAACTTACTTGTCCACCATTTATGATTTACGAATTTTTAGTGTCCAAACATTATAATTGATCATTCTCTTTATTATCATCCAAGGTCGGCCTTGTGGATAGCCGAAGTAGGTGCCTACCTAGGGACCTCAATTTTTTTTAAAATACATACACACACATGTACTAGCCTTTCTGCACGCGCCTTGTGCGTGCGAAAGGTTTTTTTACATCACGACATGCTACTCGCAACAGTTAGAGTTTTTTTTTTTCCTTCCACAGTTGGTTCGAGTGGAAAGGTGTTTTATTTTTGTTTTTGTGAAGGCAAATGAACCATACTAATATAAATAAAATATAAATTGAACCCATAATTGAAACACACTAACATTTTAATCAATACAAAAAAGGAATAACGCAGATAAGATGACGATCTCTGATATGTTGCTCCTATCATTTCCCTACATACTTGATTTGTTGAAGTCCACTTTAAATTCTTTTGGTTCCTACATTTTAAAAAAATGGACACAATATAATTTATTTGACAAAAGAAAAGATAACATGAGAGGAAAATTACTATAATAGTTAAGTAACATATGAAAGTGATCAATAATAAAAATTCATGTTACATATTTCGTACATTACCATTTATGTTAATGTTGTGAGTTAGAGGATAAAGATACATTTAATAGCACCGCTACTTTTCACTCTAGTATTAATGTAGTGTGAGGACACTTCTCCGTAATATAACATCAATTCATAATTCAACCAGTAAATAAAAGTTTATAGTGCATGAAAAAGTGATGCCTTAGTTGATCACATGTATTTACATATTGGTTTTGAATTTGTGTAGCATGTGGATCAATAGAGCAAGCTGTTGGTGTGCAAAATGAGATTGTCTAATTTATTGTAATTGGTCTTTTTTTTCATCAAAAGGTTTTTTGATGCAATTGTTGTTGCTAAAATTTTGATTGCCCCTTTGGTTATTCCACACCTTGAAGTTAATCCCGCATGGCAAGATTCGAGGTATAAAGTGAGTATGCTAACGTGGAATTGTTCCTAGATGTTATTATTTCTGTCCAAGGGGAGCCATTGATGGGAAACTTCTTTTGCAACCCGTTTGATCTTTCAACTATTCCACATAGGGTTATCTGCAAGCCAAAACCTAATAGCTAGTCTCTTCGCCACACTCACCCCTCACCTAAACCGTAACCAAAAAGCAAAAAGTCGGCGGTGGCTTCGTTTTGTACCGAACTCTTCTAGTTGGATAAAGAGAGAAAAAGAAGAGAGTGAGTAAAAAAATTAGCCAAAGAAAACACAGAAAAGTAAGACCAAATTAACTTCATTACCTTGAGGAATATGAGTCAATGATTAAAGAAGAGAGATCCGCAGAGAGAAAAGATAACCTCAAGGCTACAACACCTTGAAAAACTAAGGTACTTCCCTATTGCTAAGTAAGGGGAACTCATGCACTGATACACATTAGTAAGAATTAACCACACGCTGTAAAAATATTCATCATATACATCAATCTGATACACATTGGAATTTATCATGCACTGATACATCATAAATACAAATAATTAACACTTCAAAATATTCATTATATACATCAATCTGTCTCTTAAGCTTGAATTGGGCATAAGTCTGTAAATTCCAATTCACATGTCTAAAAACTGATTCTCTTCTGTTAGCAAATTCCATATCGAATTGTACCTGGACCAATAATAATTTGAGGCAACCGAACCTACACATTTAGGCCTTTCAACTATTAAAAAATAGATTTGTAAGTCAAACAATCTAATAATCCAAGCACAAAAATGCAAATTGCAAAAGCTAGAGCACATACCTTAGTGGGCAGAAGTTTTGATTACCTGACATAATTCCATTGATATCACTGCAAATTCCACCATATTCAGAATCGTACACCTCCATCAACAAATGGCAAAGCAGAAAATCGGAACAATTGAAAAAGAAGAATCGATGAATCGGGAAGACGTACTTGGAGAGGTCAAGATCGAGATCGAGATCGAGATCGAGGTGATCAAACGTTGGTTCTACTCGTTTTATCCCACATTGGAGTCTTAAAATTGCACGGCAACATGTTGATAGCAGTTGCAAAACTGAACTGAACATGGTTATCCTAAACCCACGTTAATATATATATATTTTTTTAAAACAATTTTAAATTTCTAAGTGTGTTTTTAAATATTTTATTTTCTGACAAAATTGCCCTTGTGTTTTTATGTATCAAATTCGGTCAGTTTTAGTTTTTTTTTTTTTTTTTTTTTTGTTTTTGTTGTTGTTGTTGTTGTTGTTGTTGTTGTTTTAGGGGCTTTTTAGTCCAATTATTTTTTGTGAAGCTTTGAGACACTAAGTGTTATTCTGGTTTTCTAATATTAGAGATATTTTGTTATAGTTTTGTTGTGGATGGAAGAGAAGTGAGAGGAATGTGAGAGAGATACAGACAAAAAGAAAAGCAAATCTTTAATGTTGAAGAGAGCAAGAAAGATTAGAAAAAGTGATGCTTTCCAACTTAATGATATTT